CACATGGGTATGCTGTATTTGCATCTCATCATTTCCAGGGGCGTAAACTGAGCCTTAATATGGCTTAATATGTCTCATACTTTTAATATAAGTATGATATAAGTATTTTAATATAAGTATGAGACACTATCCACCCTTATCTGTGTTAATGAGTTCAGAGGGTTCGTTAAAAAACTAGATTAATAGCAAGCATTGGGCAACCCTGCCCAGCATATATTCCACTTAGGTATTCAACTCAATTGCCATTATTTACCAAAACATATGAACCATTCACAGAATTGGAACTGCAGTCATCAGGATGTCAGTCATCAACTACAAGGTTACCAAAGACTCCAGCACTGTCACTGTTGCCAAATCAAAGATGTATTTGGCTGAAGCTGAAACTGAAATATAATCTTCATCCAAGAGGGAGCTGTCGTCATGTTGTCTGTGACAACCAGCCTGATTAAAACACTTTATAACAGATTAATTAAATGACCTCAGAAGTAATGAGACTACATTTTTAGTCATTAGTTCTATAACTTCAAAGTTAAATAGTACCTTAAAGAAACTGAAGTAATGAAAAAAAGAGTAGCTACAAGGACATTGTGTTACTGGTATAGGACAGGCAATGCTAGTATGAGGCATTTTAATCTGACATTAATAATCCGAATCAAGCATTTGAACTTCCTGACGGCAAACAAGGCATTGTGTCTCCTGAGGTTAGGATCTTTTCATTATCTGCGTCCTCACAAGTTCACCAGTGGGAAGGAAGCTCTTTTGAAAAAAAAGCAATTTTTTCTGATGATCAAAACTATATTTGACTTTCAAACTTTCTGAGGGTCTTAGTTTCAGTGAGTAGTTTCATTCAGTAAAGGACAACTGAACTAAAATCAACCAGTCTTTTAAAAAATCAATCCTTGCAAAGGAAATTCTCACTTACTACCTTGAGAGGGAAATCCTCACTTTAAGGAGACAAGATTAGAAACATGCTTTATTTAGATTTCTTAATGGAGAGGCTAGAAACAGAGAGTAAAAGCTGATGTTAGAAGATGATAACTTTTCTTGTCCTTGTGCCACAACAGGCCATTGGGTGTTAGTTCTTCATATTATACACACTTATGAAGGAAACATGTAATGTCTCCTTTTCTGCAGAGATATTTCAGTGACTTGCTGCAAGCTTCGACGAATCATCATGGGATACATGAGTGAAGTTGTGTATTAACAAACCATTGCTTACAGATTTCTCAGAGGAGACTTCCTTCTTCTCCATGTTCTTAAAATGTGGACCCCCGAGTAGGTTGTGCCCAAAACTTCCATCCCACGCCCTCTATTACACTCACATTTGCTGCCTTGACCCCATAGAAAGAACTGACAAAGCACCATTGTATCTTCAGAAATTCTGTCTACAGGAACAGAGTTTAAGTCAGTGAGAGGCAACCCCTTCCGAGAAGACTGTAGCTACTTCAGGAAACAGCCTGGCCCCTTCCAAGACAGCACTGGGATTGGTGAGAGTCTCAGGAATACTGTGTCTCTCCTCAATCAAAAGCTGCTTTTGAGTTACTGCCTCTTACCAGGCAGCGGTCTCTACCAGCTAGACCTCAAAATTAAGTTGGAGATAATTTTAGGAAAGTGGGAAATCAGGCCCTCTCGAAAGCGCTGACTTTCAAAAGATGGTAGCAGGGCAGGGAAGGAAATAAAGAAAACAGGTCATGAAACCGCAGAGCTTGGAGTTGCCTCCCTAAGATCTTTTTTTAAGTGTCTTTTTTTTTTCCTTTTTTTTTCCCAAAACACTGATCAGTACTTCTTTATTAGATTTTTAACTCAGCAGCTTTAAGATGTGATCTTCACCTGTTGCATGAAAAGTCAGAACACGGAACTAAAAAGGTTGAGATACGGGCTCTACGGCCTCCTCAGCCTTCTCAGTACTTCAAAGTAGATCTACAAAGTAACCATTCTAACCACCAGCACACCACACCAGCTATGCTTGCAGAAACACTGCCGGTCCTCACCTCTCCTTGCTGAACCTGGGCCATCACAGAGGCAAGAATACAAAGTATTCAGGGCTAAAAGAAGAAAGAGACAGTATAATTCTGTGGTTTATTTCTTATGGCATTTATATAAAAAGAAGAGAGTTGAGGGACCTGTTTATTTGTCTCCATTCAAGCTCAATTAAAAACAAAACAAAAATATCTAAAATCCTTTGGGAAGATGAACTGTAGAACCAAGGACTGCTATCAGTAACTCAAGCGGCTGAATTCTGTGCTGAAGATCTGTATGCCTAGTTGACCACGCAAGTTAGAAGGGCGCTTTGGTTTGATCAGATGGAAATCCTGGTGAACATGCTTTTTTATGAGCCAATCATCTTAACGGCTCTTTCACGTGGTTTGGTTTTGGTTAGTTTATTGTGTACTTTTATGTGTAGTTTGGCTGTTATTCCTGAAAACAGATCTGTTTCTCAACAAAATCAAATGAATGACTTGCTTTTTCTATATGACTTCCAACAATAAACATTAGGCTATCACCCTCAAATCAGTTTTCTCTTGCTCTGAAGTCTAAGGCTATAGTTAGAGAATACAGCTGCATCAAACACAACTGCCCTCTGCTAATAAACGACAGTCCTGTTCTCTCATCCTCTCTCCACTCCCTCCTTAGTGCCAGCTCTGATCATAAAGTAAGCTCATTCAAAATGAACTGCTGAAAACTATTACTTTTCTTCCTAGTGCAGTTTTCTGCTGAATTAGCAAGTTAAATTGGCTCACTGATCAATATCAGGGCTCGTGCAAGGGAACAGGGAAAGGCAGTAGCAGGATTACAGAGGGTGGGACCTCTTCTTTTCTCCTCTTCTGTGGCAGTAAGTTGTTAGATCACCTAAGATGTACCACACACCTGCATTGGAGGGCTGCTGTAACTGGGATTCCCTGACAGTATTTGTCATTATGCACATACAACCTTTCCCTCTGCTGTTCTGCTGTCAGGTAAGGGCTGTATCCAACTGACTGGTGATTCCTGGACCACTGGAGGCTCCAGGGGTACCCGGGGGAGAGGACACTTGATCCATACGCATGCTGAAGGTGCTCAAGGAAAAGGCCAAATCACCGGATTAGAAAGAGAACAGTTATGAACATCATTCTGGAAGGCTGGCTGCTAAAGCCAATCTTTAGATGACAGAAGAAACACAGTGTATCTGCATTTGATGCCACTGCAGCAGCCATGTGCATTTCACCCAGTGATCGCTGCACATGAAACCCACCTATTAGAGAGACACCCCCTGGAACAGGCACTGACCCCCCGAGATTCAAACCCAGTAAAAACCGAAGTATCCAGTGGAAATGTAGTACGTCACGATGCTTTCTCGGTGCTAGGAAGACAAGGAGGAGAGCCTCCCCTTGCTTATGAACTGCGTGCTTCGCTCTGCACGCACTGCCCGCCCGCTCCTGGGCCCCCCCTTTCCTCCAGGGGGTCAGCACGGCCCTGCGCAGCCCCCGCACTCCCGGCCAGTCAGCCCCTCTAGAAGTAGGTCTGCCTGTACTCGCTGCTCATCTCGATTACTCCTCAAAATTCACCCTTTTGTGCCTGTGGGAACAGGGCTACACCTCTCCAAAGGGATAATGCCCGGCACGGAGGAGACAACGCAGTGCTTCTGGAAAACC